TAACCTAATTTTTAGAGGATATTTTGTTTAAGTCCATGCAAAAAATATTACGCGGTACTGTACCTATACCATTTCATTAAGTCAGTTATTTGCACGAAGGAGCATCATGTGTTTCTAAAATTCGAGTCTTTTCATATGACATGAATCCTCGCATCTTCGACGTATACGCTCTTCTTAAGAAAACTGCTTTTTTCAATCAACGAGACGACCTTTAACTAAAGATCGTTTGCTATCGGTCTGGTGTTCCGGTGGATGGGCCGGGTCGCCAACCGTCAACCCCCACGGAGGAGAATTATGGCCAAATCGAGAAAGCGGCACTAGCTGTTGTATCTGATACCGAAAATTCCAAAGCTGCTGTACGGTCGCCACTTTACCTTGTTGGCGGACAATAAACCTTGAAGAAGAAGACACGATCGCTTGGACAAGAGCTTTGTTAGTCTGACGTTTCGGATTCCTGCTCGAATCCATAATCGAAGACAACAGCAGATACGGGTGATTCACGCACAAGGGGCTGCAGTATTTATAGGATGCAGTCGCCATGCTACGGCATACCTATGAACATTCACGGCTCCCCCGTTCATCTGGGATCGCTGCACTTGGTGTTCTAATTGTCTGATAGCCGACATTCGCGTCGTTAATTGCTGTAATTTCATCACGTGCGTTGGATGTTGGTGTGATGACTGGTCGGCCATCTGACGCACCGGACCTAGTGTTGGGAAAAGTGTTCACATGTGCGCTCCCCGAGTGGCTAATTACTCCGCCTAGGCTAATTTTCAGCACAGAGTATGGATGGGGAAGTTTATTACACTTGTTAATTTACTGGAGGCCAGTAAACCATGATTCAAGTAGCTCCCGGTTCACGCGGTTGTCACCTCTTGCGAGAATTTCGGCCTCTTCGAATTTGAATGTGTGGCCGGGTCTCGTCGAATGAGCCGCAACTTAGAAGCTGACGTCATTTTGCCGCACCGCTGCAGCGTTTTCGGCCATTCTCGTTCGGAGCTGTCTTCCGGTATCTCCGACGTAGTTGCTTTGTCCGCAACTGCACCAGATCCGATAAACGACTCCAGACGTTTTTAGTCGTGGCAGCGGGTCTTTTGGTTTCATTACCAGACGCCTGATGGTTGCCTCCGGTCTGTGTGCAACTCCCACCCCAAGTGGTGCGAGAAGGCGGCAAACAGCTTCCGAAACGTTCTTGACATACAGAAGCGCCCGCCAAGATTTGGTGTCCGTGCGGTTAGGCCTTTCGTGCCTTTTGCGTACGCACCGGTTGACAAAGTTGCGCGGGTAGCCCTTGGCTTTGAATACCCGTCGGAGGTATTGCAGTTCGGCAAGACTACTTCCTGGGACTCGTCTCTTCGCTTCTATAGACAATAAACCATTGTCTACAATCTTTGGTTCGAAGGAGGGAATTTCGGCCTACTCACTCGTCAGCGATGAACAAAAATTCTTACTGATCGCTATATCGTTCGTCATCCTCTGCCACCACACTACCGACTTTGGCAATGTTGGCACTCTTTTTCACCTCATCTACAACCACCAGGAACTTGAATAAAATACCATGATTGCTGTCATTTTGGTCGAGAAGTATGTGCACCGTCAGCATTCAAACATAGTAAAAGTTATAATTGTCCCTGCCGTTAATATCCAAAGCATTGCCGAACGGAGTCCTGTTCTCCGCCAAACCATCACTTATACACACACCTGTTAGCAAGCCACTGTCTTCACCGGCGATTTTCATCAGCCCTTCCTGCTCCGTGCAACGCTATCTGTGGTCATCGTCTGCCTCATGTTTGCAATTCGCCTCTTCAACCTGCTATGCTTCACCAATAGCATTCCACCTAGCCTGGCACCGGCCGTAGTTTTTTCGTTCAGATCAGGTATGGGCAGAGGCACGGACGGTCTGGTCCAACATTGTTTCTGATGTTAGCAGTTTGCCAGGATGTTCCCTCGTCTGCCGCCAATGTCCTAGCAACCATCCAAGAAGTCTTTGTGGCGTATGCGCACCGATTTCTCTGGGCCACTTGACGCAGTCTCATGTCTAATATTGGTCGAAGTCTACTCAAACTGGCCTGAGATTGTCTCGCTGAATCAGGCAACCGCATATGCCATAAGCACTTCCCTACGACTCTCTTTAGACAACATGCTTTACTGTAAGCCCTGATTTCGGATAAAAGCTACCAGTTTGCTTCTTCGATACTAAAACATGTCCGCCATAAAAACGAATTCCGACGCATTCGCTGCACACCACAGCACCCCCAATATACCGGTTAGGAATGTTTCGTCGGCACGCTCGAGATAGTCCTCTCAAAGCCCGTGGGGAGAAGACTACGCGTGAGAAAACCCAACTTCTCTCGTTTGCTTACAAGACTACTCAGAACCCGACCTCACTGGGTGGCATTTGCACTGCCGAAGTACTGATGACCCGCAAACTACTCACGTTCAATGCGGTCTTTCCTATCGGTGTACAGTCTGCGCAGACGAATTCTCATGTCTCCCGTAACTTACTTCCTGTCGGAACACCTGCCTTTCTTCGTAATTGTCGAACTGTTTCTACGATTGGGGTGACGCGACCTCGGCAGCCCACCGAGAGAGTATGCTGTTCAACGTTCATGTTGATGGGTGCGTTTGGGTTTGTAATTACAACTAGATTCGACGGCTACATTAAGGCAAGACAACCCAGTTCAAATACATTCCTTCACTTCCCTTAGCCATCCTGTCGAATACTTTCGCCATTCCACAAGGTGAGCGGTTTCCGAACAAATTCATCCACATACTTCGGGTCAACCACTCTCTTTATCAGTCGCTGCATCTGCATATTCTAACTATAAACTGCTTCCAAGACGCCGATTGAACCATGTACGCCGATTATTGCGGCCGATACCGGTTAATCCGTGCCAGAATCGGTCCTGACCTACTTGGAGTGTGAGTATTGGGAATGTCCATATTCTAAAATGATCATTCGATATCATTGGAAAACAAGTAAGCACAATCCGGTAACATAATGTTCGCGCGTTCTCGACAGCGTCTCGCCACTGGCTGCGGCCACATCACTTCATCGAAACTTGAATGGGCCATGTTTGAGAGGAGCTTATCGGGTATTCTAATCTCCTCTTTTTGATTCTGATTGGACGGATTTCGAGTCCACATAAACGAGCTGATATGAATACGCATCGTTTCTCAGGAGAACGTTTTGCAGGTTTCCAAAAATCTTGCTGTACTGAATCGTGTTTCATCTCACCGAAGTTTTGCGGGGTTGAGAAAACAGTCTATCACTCATAAAGTTCGTGTTATTACTGAGTACCAGGTCAGGTATAAAAATAGGACGACGTATTTATCCAGCTACGGGGATTGAGAACTACACTGGCTTTGAGTAAACGTTACACCATCGGTCGGAGCTCGTGAAGGCGCTGACTGATAAACTGTCCAGTTAATTCCTCTGCTAGTGAGGCGCCGCCGGCGCTTCGCATTCCAGAAGACAAGCTGGCAAACATATCTTTGCTTCCGATAAATTCTTATCATCCCAGCACATTAACATGGAAACGGAGTCAAGGGAAACGTGTCAGTAATTGAAGAGACCAACTACACTTGTTCTTAAAGAACAGGTGGAGTGTAGGAATATGGGGAGGAGTAATATTAGTCATGCCAGGGGCGGGGTGAGAGCAGAGGGGCACGGAGAGGCGCATGTAGTTAATCGACTTTTGGCCACGGCAAACGCGGAGACTAAACGAGGCTCTTCTGCAAGCACAAGATCGGCTATCGTGACCTGACAGCGGCCACCTCAACCACTCATAAAAAAGGCTTGCCCGGTATCTTATGGTAGCTTGATGAGATCATATAAGTCACACAAAAAGCTCTGTTGGGGTCAACACAATGTCCGGAACCAACAACATGTGCAAAAGTGGCGCCCTTTATTTTCCTAGTTTGACCTTTTTCCAGTCATGCAGCGAGGTGTTCTCGTATTTTTCTGGATGGGTGCCAATTCATGCGACCAATAATACTTACTTCAAGGGGGCAAGTGAAGGAGTAAATGCACATCGTGGTGGTCTGTGAATGCAATCTACCTTTACCTTCTCCAAGTTAATTAGGGTTGGAAGAAAACAATACGAGAACCCTTGACGCTGTGAAGATTCGTGCGACAGCTTGATCAAGGCGTCTTCCTGGGACTCCACTCGCCGTGTCTCCTCGAAAAGTGACTTTGAAGAACAGAGTTTTCTTCTCGTCAGCCAGTGTGGTGAGTTTTTCTGGTCGTCCAACAATATCCTTTGCGTACTCCCCTGGAGTAAGTTATATTGGTCGCACGAATTGGCACCCATCCAGAAGAATATGAGAACACCTCGCTGCATGACTGGAAAAAGGCCAAACTAGGAAAATAAAGGGCGCCACTTTTGCACATGTTGTTGGTTCCGGACATTGTGTTGACCCCAACAGAGCTTTTTGTGTGACTTATATGATCTCATCAAGCTACCATAAGATACCGGGCAAGCCTTTTTTATGAGTGGTTGAGGTGGCAGCTGTCAGATCACGATAGCCGATCTTGTGCTTGCAGAAGAGCCTCGTTTAGTCTCCGCGTTTGCCGTGGCCAAAGTCGACTAACTACATGCGCCTCTCCGTGCCCCTCTGCTCTCACCCCGCCCCTGGCATGACTCTTATTACTCCTCCACATATTCCTACATTCCACCTGTTCTTGAAGAACAAGTTTAGTTAGTCTCTCCAATTACTGACACGTTTCACTCGACTCCGTTTTCATATGAGTGTGCTGGGTAAACATATATTCAACAGCAAGGCCTTCAAATCCATCGATTACATTACTGGAAACATCACAAAGTTCCTGCATGACCCGTCAGGGAAAAGTAACTTTGATTAATTATGCAAACGATAGATGGGCCTGGTTTCTGTCTATCTGGCTGTCCAAGACGATGCCTTGAACGTCCGACTCATTCTCTATAGAACTGTATTCTACAAACACGAACGCTGTACCAACTTATTTCCTCCATGAACCCATGAAAAACCATCTTCGAGGACGTGAAGAAGACGTTGTCGATGACCTTCGGTTAACAGTCCTCCTTGTTCAATCTCCAGTTCTCGTACCTCCGGATGTTCAGATGTCGATAAGAAACGTTTCTGTCACTGCCACTGGTGATGCGTTCAAGTGAGAATCCGAAACCTCAGGCGAATAAAGCCCTTGTTACAGCGATTACTTCTTCTTCTTATTCTTATCACCCAGGCCCTGGAACTAGCATCTCCGCTTGTTCAGATGACATCAGACGATCTCATTGCATACGTGAGCATTATTAGCATGATTAGGGACGTTTTCGGCCCAGTTCTCTCACTGAAGACCGGTTTGAATGCGCCATTTTTATCTATGGTCCCCACTTAGTTACAGGGTATGCAGGGATATTGACCGAATGAGTATCCACGATAAAAATGACATACGTCACAGTGCTGACAAGGCGGTGACAGTGATTTTGCCCTGGGCACCTGCTTCGGCAGCGTAGCGCGGTATAGTAAGGTTGCTGAGATCGCATTGACTGATTGAAATGTGGGAGTGATCTGGATAACGATGAAGTTGTGTTTGAAGTTGATCAGCATCTGGCACGTGCCAGTCAGCTCTCGGAGGGAAATGTTGCAGCAGTTCCTTTTCATCGTAGGCAGGAGACGTGTCCAACTATCAGAATCCCTGGTGACTGAGGACCGCAGACAAATATGAAACATTAAAACTGGTTTTCAGCGAGAGAATCGAGCCGAAAACGTCCATGCTTGTGACTAACAATGCTCACATATGTAAGGCAATCGCCCAATGGCATCTGAACAGTTAGAGGCACGGGAATTGAGGGTTGAACAAGGTCGACCACTGACCGAAGATTTGCGAGAACGTCTTCGTTGTGTCGACAGAAGTAATTTCACACGAGTTGATCGGGGAGATAAAGTTGGCTTAACATTGTTGAGGAAAATCCTGAACTGGGATTGAGGTCAAAAGTGCTGAGGATATTCACGCAAGAACTGCTGACGGGATAACTGGCACGTCTTTAGTAAGTAGGCGGTAGTTCATAGATTTGTTCAATCTTTCCGGTGCCAAGAGAACATAAAATTATATAAAGATATCATTAAATTCATCATGCTCATAAAAGAGTTTGGTTTCAAAGGCAAGATAAAAAGAAAAGGAGGCAGTAGTCCGCCCACAAGTGAAAAGTTGCATTTAATTTAAAATGAGATCTGATTCGGTTTCTGAATCACATAGTTCATTCGACATGGTTTAAAAGCCTTAAAAGGAGAGCACGAAGAAGAACGCCGAAGTGGAGAAGCTGCCATTCTATGTGATTTAGACGGAAGAGCAGACTTAATATGTGGACTCGTATGCCAGTTAGAAACGGCTGCTGATCTGCAACCGATATCAAATAAATAAATAATTTAATTAGAACCCATAGGAGTACTTTAACGTTTTTTAAAAACGCATTTTCTACCGAGTTTAAGAACTAGTGGACGAACACTGTACAGCCTTCAGTTTGTTATGAAAAGCGGCTAGTGGACAGTGAAAACCCCTCCAAACTTCTTGGTTAGTTTTTAAGGTAAAAACTGTCATTCATGGGAAGGTGAATATGCGTGCCGGACAGGACCGACGTGTAGGCGGGAGTATTTGAGGGTTCGGAACGTTTCCGCCAACGGAGGATTTCTAAACCGGATGAGGCTGTTCGCTGCATATGCGATTGAAAGATTTTCTAAATGAATGCAAAAACAGTCGTAAAGGTGGCGAACCAGGAGGAACCCACCATGATCGGCCACAGTCCGCTTAGACTCCAAGCGAGGAGGGGACATAAAAGGCTGTGAGGATCATAGAAGCGCGGAGGATGCGACCATGATACATCTTTGCCGACCGACCAAAATTTTTGCAAGTGACGAAAACGGAGGAAACAATCATGATCGTTACCGGCTCGTTTGGGATCCATATGAGGAAATGAAAGTAAATTCATCGGAAATCGTTGCTGCAGTGGAGGAGTAATAGCAGTGGACTTAGCAGCCAATCAAAAACAGGGGGTTGTAAAAATCTAACTAAAATTTCCCACTTTTTCGTTTCAATTTAGTTTTTTGAGGGAAGTAGGCGTAAGCCTTTGGGCACCCTGTTTAAAACGTACAACAGGGTAGGGTGTCCAGAAAAATTATCTGTGTCGAAATAATTTAAACGAGCCCATAATGGTATGACAGAAGGGAACTGAGTCTCAGATGATAAGCTCGATCTGCCATCGCTGCTGGTCATTTCGGAACATAAATAGGTCAAGGTCCTTTTTAAAACTTTGTATTGATGGTGACATCACAAAATCTGCAGGCAGACCATCACATGGTTTGAACAGGTAAACCATATCTTGCCTCCCATTTAATCCCAGGAGGACCCTTTTAAAAGTCCAGAAGTTGAGTGTTTAGGAACGAAACGGTCAACTGCGAGTTTATGTCTTCCGAGGTAAGGTGTTCGCGTAATTTTGATTTGAATACCAATAACATAGGCAATGATTTGAACTACTCTGCATGCAAAATAAAATCAACCTTCTCAGTACTCTGACTTCTGTAATTAAACGGAACGGCACTTATTGGGTCGGGCAACGGGTAATGATATTTTATTGAACAATGCAAAATACAGAAGAGTGGCCAGATCGAAGGTGATCTTAGGAAAACTGAGGCCGCACAAGAACAAAGGCTGCGTGAACGGTCATCCGGTGAAAACCCAGGCGGATGGAAGCGCAAGGCGAACGTAAAGACACAAAACATCCTGTCGATCTTGGCGACAAATAGATGTGAACACAGGTCGTTCATGAACACATGAGCCTCCCGCAACAATCTACATTTGCGATGCGTTGTATCAAAAAGGCTCCAGATTGGCCTGTGGTACGCGTTATTCAGGGTAAAAGGAATTTAGACGAGTCCATAACTACTGACACGTCCAGACGCAGGCCGCCATGCCATTTCAACCACTGCTCTCAGTCCAATTCTTCGGTGGTTGACAGGTTCTAAAAGTCGACTTATGCACGGGATAAGGAAGAAAGTGGAGGCCGACACTAGTGAATCGGTTCTCAAGACGCGTTTAAATTAACGGCGGCGCATTAAGAGACATAGCCTCGAAGGTTGTCACAAAAAGGATAGCACGGCCTCTCTCAGGACTGAGTCAGGCTGCAATGTTTCCCTACCAGAATGGCCTCCGTGAGACTCTTAAGGGTTCTAGATTCAGGCAGTGACCATGAAAGTCTGATATATATTGTGGAAATCAGATCGTGCGTGCGTGGGCTGTCAAATTCACTTACCTCTGCACCGGAGCACTATTCTGGCCGCCCTGACCTTTGCTTGTTAGCAGAGCAAGATGAGCGAGGAATGACGTAGGGCGACAGGAGTTATGTAAGTCTACCTCACACTGAACCGATTCACGCACAAACGACCGCCCGCACCCATTCCGCAAGGCACACCGAGGACGTCGTAGTTCGTCAAGGTCGGACTGTCGTCGTTGAATGAATTCGGAGAATAAAGGTTGCCAGCCAGATAAGGGCAGAGTTGCATGTATCGGTTACGCTCGCGCGGTGAGTGAACAACACGCATATGGGCGAGATACGAGGACCTTGGGGAACAAATACGGATAATGCAAACAAGGACAACTGCCGCTGTCGTACCGACGTTGCGTGCGACGCCATCATCATGACTTCTTTATCGTGAGAGTAATGATCTTCTCCCGCATGATAACTCGCAAATCAGTCTTAGTATCCGTGCCATGCCAGATGTGCTAAACTTATCTGGGACGATGGAAATAAATTTGTTTGGTAGAGGGACGCTCACCGATAGTTCTTACGGAACTCACTCGTTCCGCTGTGCCTTACGGGCTCTCTCTCTCGAGCCTAACCAGCAGCCGCACAGCGGTGCATGATATAGACTGCGTGTTATTACCGATAAAGACAAGGGAGACTGGAATGACCATTTATGGCCGCCAGTCAGTCATACCCAACCCCGAAGTGTGGAACACCTGAGGCTCGAACGCGTGGCTTGTTAGTTAGAAGTCAGACGCCCCTTATCACTGGGCTACGGGTCCGCTGTCCTGTCGGTTTCGATCGGGAATATACAATGGCATGGCTGGGTGACGACGGCTAATAAACCAGAAATGGCCATTCTAGTCTCCCTTGTCCTTGTTGGTAATAACATACTAAAATTTGTTTTTCAGACGTGAGGCTATTTAATCCATAATTTGCATGATCGGTTAACGCCCCCTGCTGTTGTTGATATTTCCTATTATAACCGACTGAATACCGGCCTGCGGCTCTATGTGAAAGTACTTGCCTACCAAACGTTCTGCGGCCATAGAACTCAGACTCAGATCCATGGTCATCCGGACATGGAGTTTCCGTGCGCCATACTGTTGGTGCTCGTTATCTGCATATACTATAGACCAGCAAGCCACGGCATAAAATTTACACAATTTCGCCGATAACTGATTATCACCTCTTTCAACTTCAGCAGCACCCTTACAGTCTGTTTAAGCCCACCACTGCTCCAATTGGAGCCTAATTCAGATCTATATGTTTGTGGCTTTCGTTTTTGCCGGGTAGTCATGATTTTCGCAAGGACAGCCATACCACAATAACGTGAGTATTTAGTGTGTATTTATGCGTAATTTTGTTGGAAGTCCGTGTTTTTAACACTATTCTCCTTTCGTTAGCACTAAACCTCTAGAGCGACTCTTCTTGCGTTTGGAGCCGGTCATGTTTGGTGGCGAGTAATTATTTGTCTAGCAAAACACTCGTCTCGATTTTAGACGAAAATTGGGGACTGCAGTACTCCTCAAACTTAAAGCATTAGTTTTTTATATTGTGGTTTCTGTACGGCACCGTCGTTTCGACATCAAAAATCCAGGCTCGCATGGCAAATTTATCTAGAATGTTACCAAGATGTTCCCAGTTGGGTGCTACCGGCTGCTAATCGCATGTGTATGTTTAAGCTAATATTTTTCAAAATGTATCAGAGAATGCTGCATAAACAAGCATTGTACTACGCATTAGAATCGGAATTAGGATTGTTATGGCACGTGTGACCAGACAGCTAATATCATTAGAGTTAATTTTTGTCTTTTCATTTCGTTTCTAGAAATCTTATAGGTTCGTTCTCATCACATTTACTTTCTCACCTAGTACCTTCCTAGTTGTGGATTAGTTTTTCACGACGGCCATTCGCATGCCATGACTTCCTCCAGTGTCTTTCGACGGTCTCCCGTGTGGTCAGATTCATACGATGTAGAGCAACCTAAATCATTCTCACCCGCAGCCGACTAATGTTGGAGTGCTTTTTGAAAAACTGCCTTAACTCGCATCACAAAACCTAATTATCCAGTACGGTACGAAGGTGCAAAAGCACACGGGGCGCTCGTTCTAATCTTTATATCATTTGAAATGTCTGGGTAAAGTAACTGAAATTTTTGCCCACTCGCTTGAATGTTAAGAAAAGGATTAATAATTCTGACGGGTAAATCCACTACAATCTCCCGATGTCAGCCGTCTAAGCGCTACCATGGTCCAAACTGGTCGGGACAAATCTGGACCTTTTTATAATTCACCAGTCATCAGTGGTGAGGGAAATATATATTTGTTAGATCTTTTACGGCTATCACCATTAGGCAACTGAAATAGTTGGTTATAACTCAGTGGGCCAGTTGTCGGGTATTTATGCTCATCGATTCTGCCCGTTGCGAGTTATTATCCTCAAATTTGTACCGAATGGTGCGAAGAATCGCGCCTCTTATATTTCACTGACGTTTCCACTACTTTTGTCCACGCTATCTCATGAAAATCATTTGAACGGGTCAAATTGGTTCGAGCGGTTTTTATGTGCAGAGCTCTTTGAACATTTCTGAAATGTGACTTCGCCTTGGAGGGTAATGCTGGTTATTCAGCCAAACATGTTCTCCTGAAGTGTACATTTCAGCACACGCGCGCTATTCTCAACGTATGGTCGAAGGTAGTAGTTTACAGTAGTATACAGCCCGTAGAGCAGTTATCCAGGCAGAAACTGTAGCGGTCAAACGCACCCACCATGGAATGCCCAGGCAGAGATTCCGCAGTTTCCGAAAGTGATGACACCCCCTAAGACGCACAGTTTGACGACCGCATCGTAACGCAAAGATAATGAGTCGCGATTAGCCGATTTTGCTTTGCCACGTCTTGCGGTCGCTTTGTCGGATCGGGAAAACCAGATATTACTTATGCAGGGGTTAGTCAATAACTTGCTATGTTAGACTTGGAAGACAATTTACCAACCCGAACCGTCCTCCCTGCCGAACGGCCTGTCATTAAACTGTCTAAGAGGAACGGGCATTCGAAGCCGCCAGAGTTAGCGATGTGACTCGGGGAGCCTATAACCAAGCAAAGGTAATGGGGGCGGTAGTGGCGGCTGTTATCTATGCTGTTTAGACCGTGTGTTTTGCGTCCACAAGCCACAATCAGTTTGCCGACGGCGTGTTTTGCCAGACATCCTAAGGCCCATTTCCTAGCTCCCTCCTTCGCTATAGAGTACACAGTACCATCCATAAATAGCGCTGCTTAGTCATCCCAGAATCCTGCCGAATTGCGCTATGGAGTAACTTTTTTATTGGAATGGCCACCCGAGTTAGCCTGGGCCGCCTACAGGATTGCCTGTCGCGCATTCCGTAGGACTTTTTGTTTGGGAGTAGGAGGGGGGGGGGGTAAATTCGAGGATTAGTTCAGGGATTACGGGTTGTGAAAATACACACACACACACACACACACACACACACACACACACACACCGAACACCGTCATTAGCTTTTGCCCGCCAGTCAAGGACGGTTACCTGGGTGTGACAGCCGTTCTGAGCACAGCCGTGTGGAAACGCTGATGGCATCTAGGTGGTTGAACGGGACGAAGCGAAAGTGTCCACCAGCCCCATCGATGAGTTCGGCAGGGGCTGTCGGTGCCCTGCTCATAGGTGCCTGTTACCACTCTAGTTTTGCTTGCATACAAGGCCCAGTTGGCGCCATTATTGCAGCATCTTCATGCATGGTAATTGCCGGCAGTATATGTGCGGCAGGGCATATCCATCGGTGTGACGTTATGCAACGTTTGTCCAGAGGAGTTAACGGTTTTAAATTCGGGGACAGATGATAGAGACTTAAGAAGATTTATTGAGGAGATTAGAACATTTCTTGCGCCTACGCAGTAGTGTGTGTACCCAGAGCTCCACAACAATCACCATAGTCCCGCCTTAGAGGGGGGGTGGGGGGAAAGATGTCAGCGGGAGTACAGAAGCCTAGTGGTGGTCAGAGTCTCCGACGAGCGGTCGGCTGGGAGTTCACGTATCTCAACTGCTACAGAAATGCACGTTTGGCGGGCATCCATTAGGTCTATCCCCTGCGAGCACAAATGTATCTATAAAACGAGTGAATGCCGGTGTTTTCGGCCTCCATCAGGAAGAATCATTCAAGTTAAGTTGTGTATTTCGTTTCTAGTCATTAGAGAGGCAAATCGGTCGATTTCACATTGAAGTACACTTTAGAATGTCTGTTGAAAAACGTCGTTTTATCGCTATGTCCAAAATACAAAGGGTAAAAATAGGCAAAACGACTTGGAAGTTATGAATTTGTGCCTCAAAATCACGATTTAGATCTTAGTTTTTCGGTCGGGACGCAAAAGGCAATTTGGTCGCAAACTGGTTTACAATAAGATAGTTTTGCGTCGCACCTACTTCACCGTTCCTACCCCGCGTTCTAAAGGCAAGACGATATCGAGACGACTGGAGACGGGAACGGTAGCTGAAATTAAAGGGTACAAGTCTTTACTTACTGGATACGTACCGGTTCGTGTAAACATGAGCTTTGCTTCAACATCTTGCATTTCACGCCGGATAGTGTTGCAATAGAGGCATCATTTGCCAAAGGGCTCTTACAACCCGACCCGCAGCCTGGAGTTAAGGTGAGTCTTGCTCAGCTAGGAGTCTTCCAGCCCACGACTTATAGCACATCACGAGAGCTTTAAAAGCATCGAGTTTACCCTGGCGAGGAAAGCATTTACTGGGTTTGCGTTGAACCGACCTTACTCTGGTGTAATTTAGCAAGGTCAATTTCAAGCCAGACTCATCGCAGGTGACGAGGTCAGCTGCAGTTAGTAGCGTGATTTAAAACTTCCATATAATGTTTTCTGCGCATATGTTTGCCCCTCCGTTAAAGTCTGGCAGTGACGCTGCCCGTCTTGACAACCCGGACACGGATAGTTCAGCCGTCCTAAGTGATGACCATATTCACTAGGTTACGTTTGTGGTTTAGTGGCCTTGGACAAGGTGAATCAGGCATTCAGTGAGTCCTTTCTTGATTCTTTGCCAAAATAGGGGCAGAAAAGCAACTGTAGGTGGGTAACCTAGTTGGGCACAGATCAGTCAAGACAAGCCCAGGCGTGAAGTTGAGGACATTAGAATTAAGAGCACTCGGTTGCATCCAGGTTTCAAAGCTGCTGCATTGAATGCCTGCTCCGTTATGTCCCACGTTAGGTCCACAGGCGCCGCAGGCGTAGCGCAACGTCCTGGCTGTCCTGCTCGTTGTTGGGTGTAGGTTGGTGGGCTGCCGAGGTCTCTCATCTGTTTGAGGTTGGAATGCTTCGGGCGCTGATTGTAGGATTTTTCCGAAACGGGGGTTCAATTGGGTGGAAGTGGCCACGGTGTCCAACCAGGGCTAGTGAAGTATGCTGGATTTATGTCATCAGAGGACACACTTCTTTGAGCTCTCGAGAATGTCAGGCCATCAAAAAAGGCAGGAGTTAGTTTGGGCGCTCATCCCACGAACGCACTGTTACTGTCCTAATCCCAACACCTTCCTACGGGTTACTCGGTACCAGGCATGACACGACCAGTCAACATCTCTAGGTGGTTCTGGAACTCTCGATAGACAGGAGACTAGGTCGAGCCTACCAGGCCTACCGGCATTGATCGTCTAGCATAAAAGTCGCATAGATCAGGCGTGATTTAGCTTATGCTAAGTAGGTGGAGGCTTGAGGTCGTTTAAACACCTTTTAAGCACGATTTCGGCCACATATCAGAAGAAAAAGGCAGAATTGACGTAGATGGGGAGCGTAATTATTTGTTCTCAGCGCCATACTCAGCGGAAGAAGACCATAGAAAAAATTCCCGATTGCCTAAACAGGGCCTCTTTTAGGATTCCAAGAGGAATGTCTGTTATCAGGCTGCATAAGAAATCATCACTGAAAACTGGGACCTCTGAATCCCTTTACGTTATGTTCAACTCTGCCTCGTAAAAATCTGAATCCAAAAGAATTGTGGTTTCGGTCATCAGGGAAAACCGATTTGCTTTAAATCTTTTCTTTTACGGATGGAAAAACAGTGAAATCATCCTCCCTCGTCTTACTCCTGATATCGAATAATTAGTAGCGTGATTACAGCTACTCTCTGGGAGAGCACCGTATTTTCGGACATTTTTGCATCTGTCGTTATCCTCAAAACGGGCCGCACAGGAAATGCACTGGACCAAATCGGGAGCCAGATGAGAACACAAGGCGCGTTAATCGGGATGCATATCCATAACAAATGCCATAGGCGGAGATCTGGTGCACGCCTAGGCGTGGACTCACGCCGCGCCAACCGCCTGTGTCCACTTACTGCATCGGATAACTGACCGGTTTGGATGGTGGACTGGTGTCTGAGAGATGGGAGAGTGAGGTCGACCGGAACTCCGCCCCCACGGCACTCAACGCGTATTTCTCACTACAAACAATCGGATGAGCTTGTAAACCATCACGATGCGCTAAAAGCAGTGGCTTGGAAGGCTACCAACTGACCGGATAGGCCAGTCCTCCTGTCAGGACTGAGAGTCAGGCTGCAACGACTCCTTCTGAATGTGCCCACTATTGCACTCCCGCCCAGATGGAGTCGGAGCTGCCCCATTCTTGCTTGTGTGAAAACCTGGTCCATTGTTTCGTGGATCAAGCGTGTGTGGCCTGCGCAGACGGATTGTTTAGCTTTGTCAGTCACTGGGCCCGATCCTGCCTCCGGTCTCCCTGACTTTGTCTCAACACCGGACTGACGTGGGTCGAAGAGGGAATGCGCCAGACACTGCGCAAATCATCTATAATTATAACTTACTTCACGCGCAAGTCACCGTCCCTGCGCCCACCCTGCCATGGAACACACGATGTACATCGTCGTTTACGACGGTCGAACTGTCGTTGTATGTCAACAGATAAGTCATCTTGATCTCATAAACCGATTCTTACACTTGGTCTTGACTTACCTTTTAAGCGATTGCACGGGATCGCGATCGATCGTTGGTAAACTCTAGGTTTTTCAAACTGGATTCGGTCCTCGATAGCGTCTTACTTGTGTACGGCGAACTGGCGGCCAACTTTGTTTCGCGTCTACAAGGTTTGGAAACGGAAACAGCGAAATACCCCAAACAACCCGCTGTTCTTTTTACATCATTTTATTATAGGATTGGCAGTTAGGAGGAGATGGCAACAGCTGTTTTGCGTGGAATAAGACAAAACCGCTGGTATAAACATAAGCTAAACCTTGACCTCGAGAGTGCCTTGTCCTTCCCTCCCGTCAACCCGACTGAAATAAATGGGAACTATTATGTATGCGGCCATTTCCAGACAATTGAACAACCTACTGTATCAGATTTGGTGGATTCCAGACGTTGCAGTAGGTTGGGCGGGTAGCTTGACCAAAATGTGATTAAACTCGCGTCGTCCGGCGGAGCCTCGTAGCTCAAGTGGTTAGAGCGTTGGCTGTACTAAAGCCTTCCCCTTACTGCGTGGGTTCGAATCCCACTGAGGCGCCGAGTTTTTCATAGTTGGGTCAATATAAATGGGACAATAATAATTGGCATTTAGAGATGAAGCAAGGAGAACCTCTTGCGGAGCTTCATACCAGCTGGCATTTACCAGACCGACGCCGCTATTCTTTCGCAGTAGTTTAAAGGAATAAGTTCAGGGGCCAACCGAACATAGTGCCGAAGTATTGCGATTGGACTCCTGCCCACCAGAAGGATTACATGACGCAACACAAAAGTCACCGTGTATAAGCTTATAAACATATTTGAGAATCTAGACGGCCTAAGATTTCGGAACACAACCAACCTATACTGGACTGTGAGCAGGGAAGGAGTGAACCCATAGAGTTATTACCCCAGCGCTCCCACGAGTTTCGCTTATTCTATTGCTTGTCACACACTACTTTGTCTCCCTTGCTCAAAAGCTCGGTTCAGTCGATCATGACTTACATTGATAAATAATGAGGTGGTGACATGCCACACGAGCTGAGCGTACTCTGGCCTACTCCCGATAGATTCAGGACCAACTACCTTTCGTCACCTCCATAGTCCTCGACTATTTTTTACGGTTTGCAGCCACTCTTTTCTTGCCAATCCTGCTGGATGTTACTCAGTTTGCCCCCTCCTCACGATTTGATATTGAGCTATTATTTGGTACCGAGTTCTCCACCCTGCACTATGCAGGTCAACGACGATGCCTTATAACTGCATGGGGCCATCACACGTGAATGAAGCTGTTAAAATTGTTGGCTTAACAACGGAGTTATCAAGGGCAAACTGTTTTTCATATGTGGACAAAATTACTAGCACGCTCCGACGGCAGGAGAGCCTACTAGAAGTACGTTAGGGTAAATTTTTCCGAGCTTTACGTGTGGAGTTGAGCTCATTTTTCGGATGTACTTAGCAGGCCAAATGCCCATCCTTTAGATAGTCCAATAAAACTGTTGCGATATCAACATAGTCACCAAAGTTAGTCGGCAGTGTCTCCACGTAAACTCTTATTTTGCGAGGTTGTTAATTTTCAGCTACCATTTGAAAATCAGGTTGTATGCTGTCTTTTAGCACCTTGAACACATTCTCACCACAAATCCCACCATTCGCTATTAAGGGTTCCGATCAGCTACGTCTCTAAAGTAAGGATCATGGCCGCCGTAGATAAATACTCCTTTACGAACTGCAAACCATAGACCTTAACTCGATGAAGTATTGTCAGCGTCCCCCACAAGTGAACCACTGATTCATGTTAGTGGTATCGCTGAGACCACAGCCACTGCACCCACGCCTCTTTCTCATCGACTTGACTTTGTCTTGCCACTAGAACATGCTGAATGAAGGAAGGGCCAGGTAGCTAGTCCGCTTCAACATAAACAACTTCACACCCAAGTTACCACTGTATTCTCTCTGGAACAGCGATGGATGTGGTCGTTTACGACGATCGGACTACCGATGGCGAGGATTCGTTTTTGTGGTACATTTGGAGCCTCGTCATAAAAGTATATAAATAAGTGCATTCATTCCATGATTTGCAAACAGGTGTGTGCGTAGTCCAGAAGATCTCATTTATCTAGACGATCGTTGCTGAAATGTTATGTAGGCGGACCGTAGAGCTCTGACCTTGTTCCCATGCGTAATATTTTACGTGGCTAAGTAACGAGACGGACGTCACGAGTCCATTATTTACTGTGAACGTTTGCGTTTAAACCATATTTGACTTACCCTGTTTCTGAACTTTACGCTCCTTTTGCGCAGCTAACCCTGTCTCGGTTCCCTAGTTGACGCCTTGTGTCTTCGTCACAAATTACTGAGCGAAGTCATCGAAACAGTTGCTGTCAGATGCGGTGCACGTCCCTGCGCAAACGTTTTGACTTGTTTAGTCACCGTTGGTGGAATAGGCACAGCATAACGCCTTATAGTTTTGTCTAAAATGGATGAGTAAGCGTGGGACGTCCATGTCCGAATTGTTAGGGCCGATGCTCATTAGCACGTTAACTCTCTAATTGAGTGGTACCAAATTCAACGGAGAAGCGTATGTTTAGGCCTACCAAAACTCCGACACAAGTATTAGGAAATTCAGACATGGCTTTTGACGATGCTATTTGTTGCTACACACGGTTAATTAGGGTTCGGCTTCTCAATGGGCCCCGCCGTTCACCATGCGATTTCCAGCATAATTGGTTAGAAAATAACGGTGTATTTTCCAAAAATTATCTAACCGGCTTGGGTTATGTCGTCGGAATAGGGTTTTCCAGGTCATATGGATTTTAAGGGCGAATTCAACAGTTAAGATCGACAAACAAAAAAAAACAGTGCCATTTTTGATGACAGACGTCCCAAAATTGAAAAAAAAACGCATGTTCCGTCAAATTTTGTGCTGCTTTAGTAAACTGAAAATTCAACATGACAGTGACTGCTTGTGTCAGGCCAAGGTTCAGTTTCTCATACTATGTCATACTGGAAGCCGCACGACAGTACCCGATTTCTGGTTAAAACCACTCAGGCGTATTTGACTACAGCCTACGCGAGTGATATATGAAATTCTAAACCATTGTCAGGCAGAATCCAGTCCGGTAAGTCAATCTAACCCGAGTTAGCGTCCACAGCAAAGGGTAAGGCAGCTGTGGGCGCCCCTACAAGGTGCTTTTAGTTATATATGTCTGCAGATGCATTAAAGCCACCGTACAGTCACAATACAATGAGCACTCTGTTACACTGCGCCGAGTAAAGTCAGAGGCAAGACAAATATTTCGCAGAAATTTCCCAACGAAACGCCCTGAAGGAATACAGTAAATCGCCGGAATTGATTGTTTGCGAATTGTAATCAGTAACTTTGGATATGCTGCTTCTAAAAATACCGGAAGAGTGCTATTCCCACTTAATCACCCTAGTCACTTAGTAGCGCTTCTTTCGAAGATCTTCAGGTCTGTCAATTCAGAGATCAGGTTTCTCCATACCGTTTCTATCCTGACTGCATTATTCACCCTTTCGGCAAATGAATTCAGAATATATGTGGACTTCCTGAGTCCTAACGCTTGTATTTTTTCGATCTTCGAGGCTAATTTAACCATCTATAACTTCATACTTGTGGGTCCAAGGCCTGTATTATGTTATTGGCTTGGGTTACGACCGGTGTACGTGCCGACATTTATCCCCTGTTCTAATGTCTTTACATCTTTGTCTAGTAACACATTTTAAATTAGCATGCCCGTTGTTACTAGATTTTCCGACACCGGTTGTCGTTTTCGACCGTTTATTTTTTTTTAACGCGAGACCTATAAATGTCCTAGTTCTATAAGCAGGTAGTCCGGACGCCATGCTGCTAAAATCTAACAGTACTAGTTCGGACTTGTCTGTGTTTGATGTCGTAGGATGTCAAATGCCGGTTCTTGTCTCTAGACCTTGCTGATAAATTGCGCCTCTTTCATGTCGACTCCTCTGTTTTAGGTCTGTGGGCTATCGCATCTCACTATATACGGCGGAGCTAATACGCCATCATCATGCAACGTTCAAAACAGCCCCTTATGATACTCACTTGTCAACATAATTCGCACTACTTTGAAGAGCGAAATATAGTTGTCAACGACGTTGTCAAGGTCGGTCGAGCTGTTGCCCGGGCTAAGGCTGCCCCAAACAATGCAATCTTCGATTGCAAAGTGCTTTCAAGGAATCACGCAATCATCTGGTTTTCTTCCGATGAAGTAATTTCCATTTTCTAGCCTCACCTTATCCATGGCAGTTTTGGCTTCGTGATACCAACAGCAGTAATGGAACTTTTGTCAATGATGTCCGGGTCACCAAACGTGACGACAGTGACTCTTGTGACAGACAAATCTTCTCTGGAGACATTATACGATTTGGAGTGGATGTTGTCGAGAACGACAGTAATTGTTTCCTTCACGCCAACTTGTATTTTATCTAGCAACTCACGGATGCATAATCACTAGTGTAACTCTCATTCTTCCCAATGGTTGTGAGGCCAAGCCGAAACTTGGGCATTCTTCCAATGAATCAGCCCCGGCTGGTCACATCCCTATAAACACGGAACAAATATTTCAACTCTCCTGTTTCCTTAACGTAGGCCTCCTTCAAATGAACTAACCACCCTCTCCATATGCGCAGGACACTCTTTTTAGAGAGCAGGCTTTGGAAAAGCGACTGGAGAGCTTGCGCGCTGCTCTTCAGGACGCTCAGCTAGCCTCCGAGGCCGGGTGGCAGGTAGGCTTTTTTTCTGATCGCCGCCTCAGGGACGTATTTCATTCTAGGCAATGCTGAACGAAGAGAAGCTCCTTGAAAAACTCGATCTTTATGAAAACCAGATACGTATTTTTAAGGAGGTAGCATTGGCTATTTGCATTTAAAACACCGCTTCTACAGGACCTCCCAGAGGACTCTCTCCGGGCCCGCCTCTCCGAGGCTTTCGAAGAGAAGAGCCTTCAAGAAAGCACGTACAAAGCCAAGTTAAATGAATTGCTAAGGGAAAAGAGTGGAGCTCTTCAAAAAGTGCAAGAGTTGGAGGTAAGATTTAGAAAAATGGTCATCTGTGTGTTGTTGGGTTGCCTTGATTTCTACGTTTTTGTCTGTGGTCGAGTTTTATCAAAGCAACAATCTCTGGGACAGAATTTGCCCTAATATCTGATTAACGGGCTAAGAGGTTACTCAGGGACATTGGCATGCACCAAGTTGTCGAAGCAAGATTGCATGTGAATTTTGACAAGTATAAATACATCCCTTGCTGGACCTTGACAGAGCCATTAGGGATGTCATTGCACAGACTCTTATGCGCACATTACTTGTCAACCAACCGATAATCTACCAGTCAAACAGGCTTAGGATATTCGTTTTGCGGGCTGTGTTGTTTCCTTAAACTTAAAAGCAAGCCTCACATGCTCTTGGAACACTTTAGCCCGGGATTTTTTTTGACGTCGGTCACTTCGCCCAGTCTCCTCCGGTCCTTTTGAGTCTTGGGGCATGAGGAAAGAGAGGATGAGGTCTGTCAGGTTCAGAACCATAGCTTATGCGTCCCTCACTATAGTAAACCTGAGGCCAAAAGCAGTGGCAGCTGCCGACCGAAAAAATTTACTGGTGCTCCTCCAGGCTGATGTCCGGGCTAAAATCACCCCTTCTTAGTGTGGCTTCTTTGGCGACAGTATCTAGTGAGACACATGAGGACTCCGTTTTTAAGTCTGGTTTTTATATGTTTAGGGACACGCGTAGACGTGGACAAAGCCACTGAGCCCACTCTCATCTTCGGTGATTTTCCCTTCGTCTTATAGTCGGAACAAAGTAGGTTTGAGGAGAGAGAGGGAGAGAGTTAGGTAGATCCTGTGTAGGTCCTCGTCATGAACTAACTAAAGCCTAAACCACCATGGTGCTGTCGGGATAGTGGCGGCCGTCAACCTGTCGTCCTGTGACGAGCTAGTTTCCCATCTGCGACTTCCACCCTATTCCGTAATGGTCTTAACAGAAGACCTGCAATTTACGAATGGTTCACACTGAGCGAGGGAAGGTAACCTCAGCAGTAGCACCCTGTTCCGAAATAATAGAAAATTTCCGATGAGATACCTCCTCGCTTCTGATTCTGTTTGTCAAAATCCAATTTTCCTGTTCATTGTCAGCTGTATGGCAGCCCCGTCTTTTGCGCATCTTCAACCACACAACCGATCCTTTAATTGTTCGCAAAAATAACGAGTTCCCACGATGATTTTTCGTTTTCAAACTGCGGCACTTCCTGTCCTATCCCTTGCTTTTTTTTCACTGATGCATTTGTCCTCTTCAATGTTCCCTCCAGCGCTCACTTGTGGACCTTCAAAGCGAGTGCACTCACCTCAGGGACAACTACACAGCTGCGCAAAATGCCTATACTGCGCTCTCCGCTGACTTTAAGAAAAATCTGAGTGAAGTGACACAGCGCCTATCAGTACGTTCTATTATCTTACCAAAATTCAAATTCTCAGGTAGGCAAAACACAGAGATTTTCCTCAGAGGTCGAACAAATCAAACCCAGACGCTAACTTCCGTGTATTTATTCAGATAATTTTGCCAGTGTACCTTATTAGTTATTTTGCGTTCGAAGCCGAGTTTGCGAGGGGATAAGGATCTTCCGACCTCACTCACCTGGAGCTAGTCTCTGCACATCTATAAAAGGGCGGGCGTGGCATGGGAAACTAGACAGGAAAAGTTGGACCTGATGCAATAACAGTATGGTTGCTGGGCTTACAGATGCGAACTGGAATTAATGAACTAACTTGGAATTAAGTCTCCGAAAGTGGACTTTCGGTTTCGACCCCACTGTCCATATAGACACCTCGGGTACTATTAAATTCGGCGCAAACACTCGTTAGTGTATGTAACGTGTCAGCACGTAGTGCATCTAACCAATGCCGTAATGACCTTACCATGCTCTCAATACTGACATAACTACTGGGCATATAGCTGAGAGAGAGAAACGGAGGCGCCTACCCGTGCCATAAACACCGAGGTGGTGAGCATTAGGTCAGACCACAGTGGTCGTTACAGACCCCAGAAATATAAGATTGCTAACTACGTATCCGTCCAATCAGACCACGGAGTCTTCGTTTAGTCATTTTGAAGGCATTTATAGATGTAACTAGATTTTGCTCCGTCAGCCTCGACTCTAAATCCCTTCGAGGACGATGCTTTCTCAGATTATGTAATCATGTCGCGATCTTACGTAAGATATTTTGGCAGAATAAGGTCAGTAATTGCAGAAAGTAGGAGTGCTGCGAGTGGCCAATTTCCTAGCCTCAAACAGACGGTTGTTTGATTTGCCCCCGGACCTTAAAACAGAAGAAGCGAGGTCTCCTGTGTACTAGCAGCAAACTCAAAAGTTGTTCAGCGCAAACTTCCGCGTCATGTTTGGGAGTAAACCAAGTGGAAATCTCCAAAATCGAATAATTTCAGGACGTGGGCACGGGTTCTACTTAAACTGCTTCTATCAAAACCTACTAAATTATTCTCTGAGCGGCAGTTTTTCAATTAAAAGGGTCCTAGTTTCCTAAATGTTTTGGAAAAATGACGTTTTCACGAATAAAAGAGAAGATGGCTGCCCACTTACTCTCATTACAAATTATCATATAGGAAACCGCCACCGAACGTGATCAGCTGTCTGAGCAATTTGCACACGTTAACGAGAACAACAAGTTGCTGCAACTACAGGTCGAGCAACTGTTCAGCGAACTCAATCACACCAAAGAACTACGTGAACGCGGTAAGTAATCGTTAACTTTTTTGTACATGTATGAAAAACGATTATGCTTGCTGCTCTTTGTTATTTGACAGGAGACCCTATCCATGGGGGGTCGTAGTTTAGCTGGCCGTTTTTGTTATTCGTGGGCTGGAAATTACCTCTTGACACTTTGACCAGGTCCAACTAAAGCCCACGGAACATATCCATCCGGTCGTCCAAAAGCGTGCTAAACCTTGATTCGCGCCTGACAACTCAATGAAGGACTAGTTTCCTATAGATCTTGGATTTGAGGGTGGAGATCTCCATCCGTCTCTGAGCACACCAGCTGAAGATTCCGATACTGTACCGAGTGGCGACAGGCGAAGCCTTATTGGGTGATTGACAACACTCGCCGCGTCGTAATACCACAATGGCTTGTAAGAGTCGCGTAGACAAGCGACTTACCAGATCCATGTCCGGTCTCGATGGTTTTGTTGCCGTATGGACCGTGGCTGCGTACTTTTCAGACAGGACAGTCCGTCTACTTTGCAGTCAGCCTCCACCGGAGGCCATTTCACTATCCGCCTGGGACGCATCGTAAATTTCGTAATTAGGCCCCGTTTTCACGGGATCCCTGTTGTAAACTTTGAGAAATCTCCCTTACCGACTTCTCCATATTTTCCCCGGTTCATAATCTTTCTTGTTTTAGAAAAGCTGGGCATTCCCAACGGACTTGCAGAGCCGGAAATTGGCAGAGGTACGCTTATCTTTTTTATTTCCTGCATCCCCCGACGCCGACACTTACCAGGAGTAGACTACAGGGCACTAATAGGGCCGGGGGTCATTGTGCCGCACTGGGACCCACCCGTCGTATTTCTCGTCACAACGCCTATTTGTAGCCTTCTAACTGTGTTGTCTTTTATAACTCAGCATACATTCCTCTTTAAATGTCAACATAAAAGCCCACCCATGGTCCATGTACAGTGACTCAGCACTACATTTTTCAGTTAGTAATACAGGCTGTCTATTTTTTCAAAGTTCAATAAAATAAGCTTTGGCGCCGTGCAGAATGCAGGCAGCTGTTTCATGCTTATTCGCCATGATTATTGCGAAGGTTTTGACTATCCGGTCTGGCTTTCGGTTCCTTAGTCCCCACAGCCTAACATCCAACACCGAATTCAATCGTCATCGCGCCGTAGCCAGGGGGATCGGATAGGACTGGAGGGGAGGTCACACTCATCTCATAATTGCATTTTCCACTCGCTTTTACTGTCTACCTGTGCGACAACAACCAAACTCCGCCTAACTGATTAGGTGTCATCTATCACTGTGTATGACGGAAGTAATTTCAGAGTGCAGTCCAGGCAGACGCTGAGGGTTGTTTCATCGCTTATTGTCAGCACAACTTGTACATGACGACTTTCGATCGCTCTTACTCCGTTAAGACTATGGCTTGTCTAGTGCAAATTTACCACCCATGTAGCTCGGAACGCATAGCTACTATCAAACTGCGTCGTCTAGCTTATGTGTTTACGTCTTGCCTGCTAATAGTTGGTTTGGTGCATTTTTCTTGGTGCGACGGTAGTGATAAAGACAGATTAACTTATCACGTCCTTGGCACTCTGGGTTTTTATTAACTATGGTGGATCTCGATGTAGAAAGGCATAAAAGTGTGAAGAACACTCCTGCTGTCATTGTCTAGGTGAACTTATGGATTAGATATTCTATTAAACGGTTTCGATTCATTGCACACATATATTACCGACATATTGCCTTCCCCGTCACATCAGCTACTGTTGTAGTCATTGTCATAAGTCTTCTCCAGTCCCTTCCATAAGGCGATAAGTGATACCTGCCGCACGGACTTTTGCGCTCATTCAGATGCGCTAACGGTCACGGCTCCCTGATTAACTTCCTGCATCCCGTGTATCTTTTTAGAGCTTCCTTCAACGTCTAACGATATCGAGGCTGAGGACGAAGTCTTAGAAGAGCTGGACCTTGCAATAGACGGCGTAGCCGCACGACCTGCAGGTAAGTCTGCCTTGGGAGACCAGTCAACATGTTAATAAGTCATCTTGGATTTTATGCAAAAGCCCTGCTCTCCTAAACGAGGTTTTAGGCGTGTGCATCGAGAGCGCTCACACGGGTGTTCAGTAAAACACTTTATTATCATTGTTAGTATTAATTTTTAAAGCGCATGCACGACCGCCGCTGTGGCGGGTGCGTGCAATTCCATCACCACCATTACTTTTGGGCAGTGGTAACAATCGGTAGATGGCACCCAAATCTCCGTTGCCTAGGGTTAACATCTACTATATCTATTTGAGAAGGTTATAGCCCTACATAGTTGTTGTTTCATCCGACCTGCGGTCCATATAATGCCTCATTTAGATTATCATAGTCTCCAACAGTTGATATGCGATCGCTGTAGACCGAGCCATGGTTAATCAACCTTGGCCAAGGCTTACACGACTGACGAGTGACAGCAGTAGTGTGGTTGTGGCTAAATCTAATCATACATACCTTAGGAGTGTAGAGAAACGATCGCTGCGTCTGATCACAGGTGTTCAAATGCCTCGCGGGTTTCTTAAAATGGTTTACGCCTATGTGTTTACTTTTCATTCACCGCGCCCATTTTTCGTTGCTATATGGCGATGAAGTAAAGCTTCCTCGTTCGAAAAGCAATTTCCGAAAAAAATCTTACTATTATTGACATTTATCCACGCATTCGAAGGCCCCACCCGTAAAACCACTATTACAACCTGTCCCGTAATACAGGCTGCTTTGGTTGGGCGTATTTTTTGGGTGCCATCTCCCGATTGTTACCTGGGTAGTTAGGGCCTAATTCTCGAATTCGGATCATTTGCTCTATGGTATCACACATGTCCATTACAGTGTAGTTTGTCTCACGAGTCACTGGAAAGCCCTGTTCCGCCACATAAACTGCCATCCACTCGTTTGAATGTAGAATGTGGTTGGTAGTAGTGAAAATGGGATTTTCAGGTGACACGTCAAAAAAGGGGGGCGTTTACCAGGAGACACCGCATCTTCTTTTGATATGGAATAGCTTTGAAAAAACGTAAGTTGCCCCATTCCATCCGAAAGGACCGAAACAACCATTTCTGTATGCTTCGCCACAGTGCACACATATTTCTTAGGCAGCTGCCTCCAATCCATTGACCACGGGCGGGAGGGATCACATCTTTGACCTGTCCAAGGGGGGAGTTTTTGAGGTGGTGAGCGCACTGCACCTAATTCACTCTTCGACACCCCAGCCCACATTTGGAGGGTAGTTTTATACCAGCAGACTCTTATGAGGTGGCCAGGGTGGTTTAGGCGACGTGCTAACATATCCTTCCCCAGAGTGACGTTAACAACAGCGAAGTGTTTGAACGGACGTTTTTCGACATTTGACGCTCAAATACGATGGCAAGCAGGTCATGCCTATTCCGCCGAACGCATTCAGGAGACTTTCTCGAAGTAAATGCTGACCACTTTATGTTTATTGCAGGCACTCTAACTACTTACAGTACCTGTGCTAACTCATGAAATGTCACGAATTAACACAGGTTAACGCCTTTAACGCAAAATCGGTAAACACTACGGCTCCCAAAGTCTGATAGCGGAAAATAAACGATGTGCCAAAGAAATAAAGCAAAGTTTGGTTAAGAAAATATTATTTACTGAGATAAAAATAAATAATTTTCGACAAAAGTCACATTTTCGAGAAACGCCTATATTACAACCAAGTTAATAAAGGCTACGTATGAGGACGTATAAAGGAGTAGGGCGCATAAAAGGTCAAAAATAATTAAGGACAGAAACAGATACAAAAAATTAGTACTTTGTAGATTGTCCATTCGAATTAATAACAGCAGAAAGTCTGTCCGACATAGACATGACAAGGTTATCTATGGTGGATTGTAAAATGTAATTATTGAGTATGAAATCCAATTTTTCCTGCATTGAAGGAGTCTTCTTAGCTTTGTGCCAATTTCTTTTGACAATTCCAAAAAGATTTTCGATTGGATTCAGATCGGGACTGTTGGCCGGGATGAAAATGGATTGGAGGCCAATTGCGGAGAGCGTGGTTGTTGTCTAAAATTTTAGATTATGTTTGCAAGCGGCATCAAATTCGTACCTCTTTAGAGCGGTGGACAGGTGCATTGTCCTGCAAAATTACAGTATCCATTCGGCGCCGGCTTATGCCGTTGTAGCCGAAAGCATCCTTGACAATTGCAATGAACACCTTGCTGTTGATGGTGTCGGATGTTGACCGCCAGACAGGCCGCTCACCGAATTTAATCGCCATCCAAACCATCATCCGCCGATAGTTCTTGAATGTTGCCGTCGGTGTAGTGTGTTCTCTTGGGAAGTTCTTTCCACATATGACGGTTTGGAGCGACTTCGTAGGCTTGTCTGAAAATAGAACCTCATCGCAGAAGAAAATGCTCTTCCAAAATGAAGATCTGTATTCAATATAATTCTTAACAAATAAAAGCCGTTCTCTAATTAGTTTTCTACTTAAATATGGCTTAATCATGGCCTTCCGCCGCTGCAGTTCAAATTCCTTCATCCTTTTTCTAATGATGTTCATAGAAAACATCGGCAGATGTTCCCGCTGAATGGTCTCAATGGGCATGTAATGAAACTTTTTTAATGTACGACGAATAAAATCGTCGTCTTGCTTACTTGTGGACCGTTTTGGTCCCCCTATCTTATTTCTAGGAACAGTTTTATCATTAATAATGCGCCACAGAGTGACCTTGCTAATATTGAAAATACTAGCTAACGACTCACGCGGGATTCCCTCAGCCGCTAATTTTCGAATGCGCTGGAAGTCAACTTCGGATAAGTATTGTTTAGACATAGTTATCGTTTGGCGTGGCAGAGCAAAGTTACGGCATGTCGCGCGAACTCAATATATATTCGTTTACGACACGCATTTTCAGTCTGGTAAAACAATCACACTGATAAACTTTTTTATTTCGGTATTTTGAAACATAAAACTTTACGAATTTGTAAAATAGAATTTTTATATAAAGAATCGCACGTTATTTCCTGAACACAATAAGAAATAATTTATCTGCATTTCCCTGATTTTGTTGATATTGAAATTTAATTTTTTCTTTTTGTTCGAAAGTTTATTAAAAAATTTCGTCCTTTTATTAATCTTCTTAAACAGATTAATAAGATTACATAAAGAATTTCCATCCGAAAGCTTTAATAGCGTAGGAAACTGCTTGAATATCAGGAATCCTCCGATTTCGCCTTAATCCGGCCCGTTTTCTATTTAATATACAGATCCGTATCAAACTTTCCTTCAGAAAACGGTCTTTTCGTCCTTATTTCAACTAAATAAACACAAATAACGACACCAAAAATACGCTACATTGTCCACTATAATTTTGTCCTCGGCATTTCATGAGTTAGCACAGGTACTGTACTTTCTCTCCTGCTAATCAGAAAATTCAAATGCGCCGTCACTCTCCCTGTCGATGGACAAAGAGGCTGACAGCTCCGCGGTCACTGAACATCTCTCACAGAGCATCTACAACTTCCACCAATCACTGCGCCTAATCCGGCTGCTGAAAGGTGAGCCTCGAGCTATGCGACATGCATGCAGCGATTTGCAGCACCAGAATGCCTCAGCGGATGCGCTGGTCCAGTGCCAGCTTACTGCAAGTAGTCGACTTTGGTCAACCTAGAGGGTGTACTGGTCACTGACTGAACTGTGTACAACAGACGACTACAGCTTCGCGTCACCGTCAGCCGTTCTCCTTCCCCCCCACCCTATGCGGTTCAGTGAATCATCCTTGTACTGCACGCCTTTCTTGCCTTCTGCAGGACGCATATGCAGTCCGTCAGCAGCGTGCGCGCTTCATCGGACCGAATTTGACGCCTACCAGCATTTGCTCTTTTTTTTCACTCGCCCTCTTCCTGTCCAGCCAAGCACTTGCACTCCCTGACTCAACTTCAGTGGGCACGCTAGGTGAAGACCAAGCTACATCAGCCAGCAAGGGGCTTAAGAATACCCGTAGTCGGTATAGTCTGTCCTGTCTAATGTAACAGACTAACCCAGCAGTCATCTGACGTTTGTAGAAATGTAGTCTATGATAGCACATGTGCTATAGCGTCCTAAAGACTTAGTTACAAATGACTGATTCAATTACTTTCCGGATTTGCTATCCTTTCCTCCAAACTGCGCCTGCTCTCCGACCAGGACAAAAGGAACCTCACTTGGCAAGTGCGAGTGGTCGCTCTACTTTATTTTACATTCAGCGCCCACGACATTGTGTTGCTACGCGACGCCAAACGTGTTAAATATTCATTGATTTCCCATGTCAGCGCGGGTTCCAACTACAAGCTCGGGCACGTGTTTCGCCGATCAGCTGCCGCTGTTTTATGCGGAAGTGAAAAGTTTAACACCGAAAAACTGGAGTACACACAGACCAGAGAGCACCTGGGGTGTGCTGGCGACACCCACTGATGAGCGAAATCTTTCGCAAGTGCGTCATGTATCGGCACAAAATTGGCGAAACAGTGACCAGGACTTTTGCTAGTATCTGTATCGCTTGTTGGCAGATGGCGAATGTTGCATAATTATTTCTTTGAAGCTGATGGATTTTAACATAAGCAGTCAATTTTCGGATCGAATGTGGGAAGACTTGTCTTGGAGACATCTCACAATTCACGCGTTTATTTCCGAGGAAAGAACGGAATTAAAATTACTTCCCTCAGTATTTTCCGAAGCTGTAAGCTTGACAATTTTTCCAGAATAATAACTATAATTACAGGGCCTGGAGGTTGTTTTTGTTATATAACAGTGAAATAAGTTACTGCGCACTTCGGGGTAGAGTTTCGGCTGGAGTCTTACCGGATTGATGAATGTTCCCCAACGTTCATTAGCGTTCCAGATCGCGGTCGACGGGACAGCGAGCTTGTCGCCCACTGATACATTATTGGAATTAATGTCGAATGAACATAAGGCGCCGGTATAAATCCCAGGTTGTCCAAACCTGGTGTTGCTTGTGACTGACCGGCCATCCCGGTTTCCCTCGTCTTTGTCCATATTTATTTGTCCATGATTACTGATCGCCGTGCGGCTGCCTGCGAAGGCTCTATATTGAACCCTAGAGCACAACGGGGGGGGGGGGGCACGACCCGTAACCCGCGTACACTTACCACAGTTATACCTGCATGCTTCATCCGAACTAAGTCTAGTCTACCCATTCCTGTTGCATTCTTATCTCGGGTAGTTGAACTTTCATTCATTGATTCACATGATTTGGATCCGGCCTTTTCACTCGGAACAGCCCTACTCCTATTTTATGGAAGAATTGTGGCCGAGATGTCACTGCAACATTTTTGATAGCCATACATGAAATATGCAATACCACATACAAAATTCTTCAACCAACAGGGCTACTCAGCCTTAACCCTTTTAATCTTTAATTCAATCGCACGGACAAGGTTCGATTCAGCAAACATTTCGCCTGCGAGCTTCTGTTCTCGGTTCGACACTGACTTTTCTGTTTGACTTTGGAAACTGAATGCTCACTTGTTATTCACTACTTCTACTGCGTCTTATTACGCACCTTTATTATTGTTGGTATTTACCGGCAAATACCAAGAAGACGAAGGTTTTGGCAATTCGTGACGGCCTCTCTCTCACTTGTAATGCTGACGTAACTTCTACTTGGCGGTTAAGAGTAGAGAGTCTATACCAGCTGTGTTTGATCAGTGTCAAAGTGCTTTGATTGGTCGTCTTCGGCCATTACCGTTTCAGACGTATCCCACAGACTAACGGACCGCGCTCTTTCAGCAGTGTAGTTGGTGGTTTGTTCAGCAGACACCATGTTTGCCGCAAAACAGCCCCACGTCTTGAGGGATTGTTCTGTGCTGAACTAGGCGGCGCATTGCCGATCCTTGATAAACTCCTGCCGGTGGAATTACATTTTCTGAAACCATCGGAAGGCCAAGAAATCCGTCCAAACAGAGCATGCAAAACTCCGTTGCAGAAGTTGACCAAGTTTCCCCCACTCAAATGCATTGCAATTTCCCTCTTCCTCTTATTTACTAGTTTCTTCCCTAATTCAATCTGTCACATAGTGCTTTGTGCTTGAGATTGTCTGTTCAGCTACGGCAGATCGAGTTGGTCGACAAAATTACATATTTATTACTACTGCATGCAGTCAGTCTACTACACCCACTTTTTGTTACCAGACTGCATCAGGCCAACCAGAGATGAGATCCGGCCACACATTTCGTCACTCTGCTGTTGCGTTCCATACTCGTATTTAGTCTCCATTTCAATTTACATTGCACGCGCACACATTTTGTTTTTTACTCTTCCATAGATAAGATATTGGTATCAACAACCATTAACTTGGAACATGCCTTGCCAGCGGATTGGAAGGGCGGTGATGAACAGAGTCTCCAGACGAAGTCGGTTGACACTTTTGTTAACGAAATCCTCCGGTATCACGAAAATGCCCTGGCAAATCTTCACGCATACTTCCTACAAGTAAATCCCTCAGCGGCCGTCGAGTTAGCCAAGACAATTCGTAAGTCTTCACCTGTTTGGGACTTTTTGTAGCTGACCCTACTGAATTCGCGTTTCCATAAGCGTAAATGGCCTGGTGACAACTAGTAACCTCTCCCACTGTGGTCATTTTTCACTGAACGTAATGAAAGACTAACCGGCGTCTGTTTTAGAGCTGTTTTGCTATTATCTACTCTAAGTAACTTTAGCAGACAGTGGTGAAAGGTCCATAAGTCAGTTTATCGTTTAAAATTATAACATGTTTCATTTGTTGGCGTCTTCATATATCCTTGTCATACAGCGTGCAGAATATGGTAATAATGTGACGTAAATGTCCTGCATTTTATATCTCACAAACGCAGCCTTCATTTGGGGCATTTTCCATAACGGCTCATAATATGTCTGGCTTCGGTGCATACCTCTCTCCCCGTACGTAGTTTTTAGGCTGTTTGATAGTCTAAGGCTCATTGATCCTTTATATTTCCCCACAGACAAAAGTCGGGTGCTGGTAAATCGGACAAACCTGGGGGCTAATTAATAGCTGAATGCCACCACATCATTCACCCCTCAAAAATTGGCCTTATTAGTCGCTTGCTGGTTTTGGATGTGTTTCAGGCCTGCCTTTCGCTGCAGGACATGCAAATTTGTTCAAAACCGCTCAATATTTGTGGCCAGTCAACGTCACTGTCTTACCATTTTCCTCCTAAAAAGCAGGGTTTGGCTACCTTCGCACCCAACCTAACCGTCAGAGAGTGTGATTCGTGTTGATGGATGACCCTCTGATTCCGCATGCATCATCAAAACCCAGTATTTTTATTATGCACAAAGCCGTTTAAACGAAAGTGTGCTTAAATTTCCATGGCATGGAAATAACGCATGTCTACTCTCTGCATTAGAATTACGGAGGAGAGCTTCTAGAGTTAAAATTCGATGTTTTTCGCGTTCTTCGTCGTAAATTTTTCCATCATCGATTTCCGGGGAAGAAGCATTCAACATCTGTAATAAAAATTTAAAAAATAATAGCAGACTCTCATGATGTCACTTGGTCAATGTAATCCTATCTTTTATGGTTCGTCCTGCGTATATTACTGACTTGCGCCGCATTCTGGCCATAAAAGCTGACCAAGTTCCCCGTAACGTCAGTAACACCACAACACCGTCCCATTGAACTCCTTTTACTTAAATTATTATCCGAGAACTCTCACCTTTGCAAGGCTGACAACCAGAGTGTCCCTAAAAGAATGCATAAAGCTAGAATAATCCAATTAGACGTGCCTGCCGTAGCGAGAATGATCGCGTACCTTTTGAAGCAATGCCGTTCCTGGGCCTACCCCCTCCGCTTAATGCCTATGTAGACATCAGTCGCTCGCATCGATGATTTCTACAACAGAAGCAACAACAACAAAAACAACAACGCCAACCTGTTCCACTAATTACGCATTTAAGTCTAAGGCTGTGCTCGTCTTACGCCTCCAGGCACTGCCACCGATCAGTGCAGTACTTATTGTGTCATTACTGCAACCAAATGCATCGCCACGTGAAGATGACCATTATCGCTTGTGACGACTTTGAAAACGCAAACATTCCCGGCAACAAGAAGTATTGTGGATTGTCACTTCGTTCCGGAATTCTGACCATGGGCGCCAGGGCGCCAGGGCGCCACTTTGTGTTCCGCAGAACTCCTGTCCCGAGCATAAATGGCCTCTCTTTTGACTCAAGTTAGTTCCAGACAGGTCCAGGGGTATTCTGTTAAAGCATGATGATTTCTGCTAAAGACATTTAGCTCTTGTATCAACTCCGGTAATTTAGTACGAGAACACATTACCCACAGGACATTTGCTAAGAAATGAGATGCATCTCCAACTATCTCTATTCTTTGCACAACCAATCACCGAACGCGCAGAACTCCAGACAACGTGCAGACGACACCATCTCGCGTTCCCATGCGCTGTCTGTGGCTCCATTGTGAAGTTCAGTGGGTAGTGCGAGAAATCGTACAACCTCAGGACCTCAGTTTGCACTCACTAGCATCGTTTTCCTCCTTCCCCCCAAACTCCACTTTTTGTCCCCGTTCAACCGTCCCCAGGTCTTTCCAGCCTACTGTCATCCGTAGCGATAATTTCCTGCCCATTAACAACAAATATCTGATAGTTTCAAGTGGGCACAACCACCAGTTGAAGTGCGTTCTGCCTGCGGGTTTTCCGTGTACGTCAAAATATGCAACTATGACGTCCTCTGTCACGTGTGTGTGCGTGTGCGTGTGTGTGTGTGCGTGCGTGCGTGCGTGTGCAAGTCCCTCTAACAGCGGCGGTGGTTGTGCACCGAGCCTTATACCGCTATTCTATGCATATTAGCAGCACACACACACACGCGCACACATCGAGACTTGGCATATTCTCCGTCTTTTGGCTCCGCTTAAGCGCATTACTTCACTCGCACGTGTGCCGATGCTGCTGCTGCTGCTGCCGCTGCACACACGGCCTTGGCGCGCGCTCTGCGTTCATTTATCGGCCGTTTTTGGTGGACTGTATGAAGCTGCGCCTCATTGTCGTGGTAAGTGCGGATAAGCAGACGCGATCAGACGCTCGTCATCACACGACGCAATCGCGCGCGCGCGCGTCCGCGTTCACACAACCACCTGGTAGCGCCTTTTCAGCGTTGGCACCACCCACCCACTCACCCTCTCTCTCTCTCGTCACGACTGCGTCTCGCGAGCTAACTAGCCACTTGCCCATGCCGTGCTTTTGGATGGCAGGTCATCAAGCCTCCCGTGCATCAGTGTGCATGTGTGTGCATTGGCTGTCGGTGCTTACGCGCCATCCTTCTTACGACAACCGATAGGAGGAGAGGTGAGGATCATCCGCGCTCGCACACACAGAGTTTTTGCACCAGTCTTCACCCTTCCTTTGAGACCTGTTGACGAAAAACGAGGGAGTCGGATGAGGTAATTTACGCTCCCTTTGCCGTTGGTAGCCACCAATAGTCTAGTCCCCGACCCTCAATTGAGAATGGACAACCGATTGCTGAGGCACGTGACCATGCTCCACCGATTGCGGCCACTGTTTTCGCTCTGTACCCCAAAGTAGAGCATTCGATCTGAATTGCGCTTCGAGTCAGTCTAAGAACCTCGTAGGCGTTGGGTTCTCGGCGACCTTCCACGGGTGGTGAACACAGGATGACTGGATTATCCATTTATGGAGTATGAATGCTGCCAAAAAATGACCCGCCCCCACCTCAAATATGGTAAAACTGTCACCTTTAGATGCGCACAGTCATTGAAGTAACTGTCTTTCATTTTAACTACAAAACTGTGAGAAGAGGAAGGATGGATACGGCGATCACAATTAACACCAAACGTACACCTTGGCATCCCTTTATACAGAACTTCATATTTTCGCTTCATGGCGCCACTGCCGCCCCACCACTCCTTCGTGGCACAACTTTGATCGGCCGATTGCCATATTTGGCGGCTATTTCGTTGCTGGTCTGGGTCGAAGCAGCCCTCAGGCTTAGAATTTGACGTAGACCCTGCCCGGTCGATTTTTCGTCTTCGATAATCCCATACACGTGGATTTAAGTCCTGAGATTGCGCCGAGCACAGAAGCGTTCGCATTCTGTTAGCCATTCTGGGGGCTTTAACAGTTCTCGCCTGATGGAGAGACGTGATGCCATCTTGCAACCAAACATTTTCCACTCCGGTTGGTGGGCTTACTAATAGGCGTTCTTACAGTGCTGGAGGTATTGCTTGCAGCTAGCGTTTCGGTGTAGTATAACGAGTCCGTATCTATCGTTTGTCCGGATTTCCCTCTGACAGTTCGATCATCGCAAGTGACGGCGTCCACCGCGTGCCCCACAGAGTGGGTGAATGCGCGTGAATTAGTTTATTGTGACGCAGACTTGCACAGCATCTACCACACCCTCCCCCTGGCGCACTTTGCTCCGATGTCAAGACGGGCGGTGGGCTCGGACGCGGCGGTTGACAAAGTCAAATGGCCCGTCTACGCGTGCCACTTACGACTCTCACAGCATGCATTGGGTTTCTGCAGGGGATGGCTCAGAAAAAAAGCCACACTAAGGGCCGATTTCGGCTTGACTTTCAATTCAAAGGGAAATCGAGTCATCCCGTTAAATGGCGACCTTTTAGGCCATGATTATTAGCACGCCGTGATAGACTCACGCACGCCAGACTTACTATAGTGGGAATGCGCTGAGTTGCTATGAAGATGGATTCACCACTGTTAGCCTCGCTGTCCCTTCTGTCCTGCACCAGTCGACTGTCCGAACTTATAAACATCTGGTGATGAGCCTGCGTGTAGTGGCTGAAGTGGCGTGGAGACCAACGTCTAAGGCGTTATGGGCTTACGTGGCTGTGCGACCTGACCCAGTTTTGATCCAGCTCATCTGCAGCGCAGCCATTTGTTGGGGCCACGTATTGCCCTCCACAAGTTCTGTCACCCTCTGGACAATTGAACCTAAACTGCGGTATGGGTAAAGCTCATTACTACTTTTCGTCAGTCCTCCAAACTGAACTGGTATTCGTTAGCACAGGTTAATTTATTACTATTGCACAGCATAGCATCGGACATGTCTCATCATCAACCTAAGTCATGCCTTCCAGTGAACAGAATTTAACACGGACGTCTGATTCTAGAACCAAGTGCCGCTGCTGTTGCTCACTGGGCGGTTTTTCTCACATCCGTAGGTATCGAAGCGCGCAAGTCAGTTGATAATTCACGGGAAATCACATATAACTTGGAAGCGGACTCTGACGTATCGAGAAAACCACATATATTTAAGAAGTGAACGACCTTAAGTAAAAAAAGGAAACGTACGGCATTGACAGTGGCGTTACGTGCGTCTCCCTGGTGGAGAGCACATGTGCGGACAATAAATACACAATGGTATCGTTAACGCAATTCCCATCAGTTTAAGGCTGATGCGAACAGATGATTATAACAGAACTCAACCGATGTTGAAAAGCTGTTCTTGCCAATCTGGGGTTTAGTTGTCCCCTAAGAAAGGGCGTAGTGGGCAGTGAGTAACATCATGAAATCATGCCCTGACGTAGGGAAAAGGGACACCATGTCGCGAGTATTCCGTATCCTTGTTCACGCAATTTTCATTGAGGCAAAATAAGTTATTGCCTGTCGATCTTATTACTTGCTTATAGTGGTACCTAATTCCACAAATCCTCAAGTCGAAGCATGTGAAACTCATAGCCTCCCTCGTATCACAAAAAGGATGTGCTTGTTCATAAGTGGTCTCATCTGATTTTTGCTGAAAAAAATCAGTTTTCCGCCACAGGGGGCCTGATGTAAACGTCTCCTACTTGCTTTGAGACTCTTGTACAACAGGACCCGTACAGACACACAACGCTGGTGTGTGACATAGCAGCATAGGAAATTACCTTGATGCAATGAAACACCGGTTTTTGCGCGGGATGTTCTGCCTTTTGATAAAGTAACTGAAAGACAGAGTATGCTTCAGAAAAGTCTTTTGCATTACATGAATACGAATTGAAGATAACATCCCATACGCTTCCCACTGATCACCCGGATTTCAGTCGCCACATTTCGTGACTTCCGTCACCTGCTATGCACTATTGTAGTCTGTCGACTTCAATTGTTAGCACAGTTTTGCTAAGCATAGTGGATTGTGTTCTGACCTTTTATCCGTCTCGGTAAACTTTCGCAAAAATGGTTGATGTCCCGGTTTGGAAAACCGGGAAAATAAAAATTACCGTGTTTATGCGTGGGGATGCCTTCCGTTGACAAAAAATTGTAATGCATATAAAGGACGAAACGACGAGGGCTCCTTAACGGTTTCTACCAACTCAATACCCTTTGCACGTGTTTCGCTAGCGTTGCGGCTGTCGTTTTTCATGACCTATTCCTTTGCATCTTCTCAGTCTTGCATGAGGATGGACCTATTAATCCATGATGAATAATTTGGCCACCTGATCCAGTACCTGCAACAGGCTCTTCTACGCTCGCAAGAGTAGTTTCAGTTGATCCCAAGAATGTTGACACCACTGCCTTTACCTCTCCAACAGGACTGATGTCGGTTTGTGATTATGCTTCACAAGCCCTTACCTTTCACTCAAAACGCTACCTTCAGAAACGCTGTACTCTCATTTCAAAAGGTTTTAATGCGGGTTGAACAACCTATTGGATGAATCTTGTTTGTCCTAAGAGGAGATAAATTCTGACAAGACCTCTCGCCACACGTCGGCCATCCTGTAGCATAAATGACCGGTGTGACAGAGCTATTGCCACATTTTAGGGTGAAAGCTTTTGAGTATTTACGAGTAAAAATTTTCCAAGCTGGGAAGCACTCCTGATTTCTCGAAAAAAATACTCTGGGCCTCCTGCCCCACCTGATTTACGTGAATCAAAACCCACTCTCGCAGTCGCAGAAGTGTTTTGCTTTACATGTTCCGCTCATTTTAATACCTCCTCACAAATGAATGCGCACAAGTGTGTTGGCTTAGTCTGCAGCAGTTATTGCCACAGAAAGTCCTCTTAGGACGAAGGCAAGTACCTCCAGAGTTAATTGATTAAAAAAGAGGATATTTGCGGCGAACATTGGCGTGTGCGAGAACGTTTTTTATGCCTAACGTAAGGCTAATAAATATAATTAACGACTTTAGAGGAGCCTCTAACGACTACCGGAGTTTATTTCTCCGTGTTTATCGGTTTTCTCTCCTACTTTATATGCCAAAAGCAGACTTATTCTCGGCGAACGCATCGTTAGCTGTAGACAGGATAGCATTATCGACAAATACAAGGGAGACTGGAATGGCCATTTCTGGCTTATTAGCCGTCGTCAGCCAATCATACGCAGACCCGAAGTGTGGAACACATAGGGCTTTATCCCGCGACCTGTTAGTTATGAGTCTAACGCCTCTAACCACTGAGCCACGGACTCGTCCTGTCGGTTGCGGTCGGGAATGTACAATGGTAGAGGGGCGCTCGCCGATCGTTTTTACGGAACCTACTCGTCCCGTTGTGCCTTACGGACTCTCTCTCACTCTCGAGCCCAACCAGCAGCCGCACAGCGGCGCATGATACAGGCGCATGATACTCTGCCTATATCATGCGCAGCTGTGCGGCTGTTAGTTGGGCTCGGGAGAGAGCCCTAAGACACAACGGGACGAGTAAGTTCCGTAACACGATCGGTGAGCGCCCCTCCACCACCGTTAACTGTGCCTACTTCATTTACCACTGCATATCAGCAAGAATTGCATCCCAAAGAAGAAGTCGAATATCAAAAGGCTCGTTTTGTGGTTTTTTTACCGTCTCAGCCAACTGTACCATATACGGTTCGGACAGTGAGGATGTCTGAATATCAGCCAGTCGTTGGCGCGACGCAATTCCTCGTTGGAACAAGAGCTATTGAAATGTCTTGTGTCGCTTAGTGTCTAGCCGGGTCGCGTAGCTTCAACGGTATAGTAAGCCTTGATTGACCTCTGAAGACGAGCTATTGACGATTTAAGCAACTGCCGGCGACTTCTACAGTTTAAATACAAGAAGATCAAACTTTCATTCGCCGACCCAGAAATTGGCGTTTTGTGGTCTTCACAACTTTGTTTGTGGTATCGAAGCCTTGTTACGGGCGTTGGACTTGCGCAGCACCGCCAGCCGATATCTTGAACACGAAACCTTCTGCTACGGGTGAAACAACTAGAAAGAGTCTGCTTATGCCCTTGCAGTTTATCGATTTCCTTCGTTCTGCGCGGTCTGTGCTCGTGTAGCGGCCGAGTAGGGTTGGGCTCTGGAAGGCTCGTGATGGCCTGACGCTGAACACGATGGCTTGGGATCTTTCTGATGGGAAGTCAGGGAAAACTCCTCTAAAAGTTGGGTTACTCCGTCATACACGCTGACAAAGGATAGGGGCGGCGTAGACATAATAGCAATGGTTGAACTGGATGTAAAGGTTTATTAAGGAAATGTTATCTGGATCGGTAGAAAAATAGATTTGGGACAGACTACTCTAAAAAAATAGAAACAGTGTGTACAAGTTAGTCAAACAAATGCGAGAATACGACTTGATTTGGTGAACCGATAAACGAGGTTAGCGGAGAAGGGTGATTAGTTACGGAATAAACGATACGTATAACGAATGATCAGTTCTGGGGTATGCAAACAGTAACGAATAGGGACTTAGCGGCGAGTTCGTCGATAGGCGGCGGCTCGTGTCCACGTAACCCGGATTCTGAAAAGGGAGGGCGGGAAGCAAAAAGATCCGTTTAAAACAATCGGTCGTTACACTCGTGCATTGCAGTGACCTGGCATTTCAGCGAAGTCTGGCTGCATGACCGACACTGACAAGTTGGACATTTCAAACTGGCAGCTGTTTTATTCGCATCCGTTTTCGCGTGCTTTTGGTTAGTTAGAAAAAACCATAATCTACTGAACCGCTTTAGATTCTACCCGGGCTATCGGGCTATTTTGCGGTATCAAGAGTAAGCTGTGAAGGCATTTTCTTGATTGTGGTACACAGAAGTTATCTATAACACAGGTCGCATCACAGTCGGCTGCTGCGTTATTCACATGTTTGGCATTCCCAATATCTACAAAATGTTGTTTTCGCTAAAGTCCAACATCGACTGAGGTAACGGCCACAGGACATCTGGAAAGAAGTAGCTCAGTGTGGTTACATAGACTTGTAGGGAAATTTCAATTGTGTTGCATTTCTCTCGTTTCAATTGGGTGGAGTTTCACGGTTGCGCGAACTCCAGCGGTCAGATTCAAATCTTTAGTCCGAAATTCACCCCACAAAGCGACTTTATTTTCAGGAACGTGGTTTCGACTGGTTACGGGGCTAACATTTGGTAACCTGTCTTTGACCTGTTGATAATACCTCCCTGCTTATAGTAATTGTCACCCACTTCGACGCCAATTTCGAGGCATGCTTTGTACACTAGTTTTCGTCTGTAATCCATGCCTTTACATTCTTTTCTCTCCTGGATTCCCTCAAAGACGCTGATCCAAACGGTACCTCAGGCAGGCTATGTGCCGAGCCGGCGCTGACTTCAGACGTCCATTTGTCATTTGACAACAAACCCGCTCGACCAAATTCCCTTTCCCTTCCCGATCACGCCGACAAGTCAGTTGAAACAAGCAATGAATTCAGAATTCAAAGGGATGTCGTCGAGGTTGTAGGAGCCGATAGTTCTGACGCACATTCCTCTCCTACGGTGTCTAGCAATGGCCCAAGTATCTCTCCCGCGTCGGAAATCGCCAGCTCTAATACGGAGGAAGTCATGACACTCAGAGGTAATCCATTATTATGTCCGACTGAGTTCTTGGTTAAAGTTGCCGGCCTCCACTTATTTTTAATAGACACACTGTCATTGTACTGTGTTCTAGTCATGGGCCTCGAGCCTATTGGGACGAGCACTGCTATTTACGGTACGGGCACGAAATGGGGTAATTTTATTTTTCGTTAGGTTTATTTTTTCGAACAATTAATACGGAGGACTGATCTCAACAGGGTCTAGCGCAGGTTCCTCACAACTCACTCCACTGTATGGCCGCCATAGCTGCAGTAAGCTCCGGCGGTGTTGTAAGGTTTCGGTTATCGAGGTATAAGGTGTCTTAAAATTACTTCCACAACTGCATTGAGCAACATCGCGTCTGTTATTTACAGACCCAATGCACATGTAACGCCATTTTTCGGACACTGTATCTATTAAGGTAGTGAAACGTGAGGAGAGTGGTACAAACGGAATATCGTCTGAGATGGTCAACCAGCAATGACATGGTAGATCGGTATAGTTAGGCTGTGTGCCTTACTTCAAATTAAAAAAAGAGGATGATCAACCTACTTGATTGGTTCCGTAGTTGTATTAGAAGGATGCTCCTGATGCTACGCACGTCACATACATACACTTTTTTCACTTACCAGAAGTATTTGTCTTCTCTTATTGGTTTTCTGCCTAATCTGTACTTAAACCTCACTTATTTTTCTATAGAGTCCATGCGCCTCGCCGTCGAGCAGATTAATCACTATAAGGCCATAATTGCGGATCTGGAAGCATCAGGTAGCGTGCCCTTTATGTGTTTTCGTTAAATTTGTTTATCTGCCACGTGACTACGCATGCATGCAGTTGGGCCCGTTATTAAATCTGTGTGGCGGCGAACTACTTTGGCAAGCAGATGTCGATCCAGAACTTATTCAAGCGCGTTTAATTTCACCATTTGTGACTCAAACCACCAAAAACATTTCCTTCCCGCAAGGGGTTTTTGTTGACGTTATAATCATTCCAATTAACATTGAAGTTTTGTTCACCGGTCTGTAATGGT